TGACTGCTTGGTCGGCTGCGCGCGCGGCATTATTCCCTTCTTTAAAAAAAGCATCGTCCCGATGCAGCACGAAACGGAAACGCAAATTCACTTCAAAATGACAGCAGAATCGCGAGCCTCAGTTCACTCTTTGACGAGAGTCCAAAGTTTTATCGTTTGTAATTCGGCTTGAGCCGGATAACTTCCACCACCTCGGGTTGTGGCTGGCGTCTTGCAGATGGGCGCGTTCCGTCTAAAGAACTTTGTAGTTGAGATCGTCGAGGCACCGGATGATTTTGTAGGGTCCAAAATGGAGTTTCAGATGCTTCTCGCTGAGACCGCGGCGCCGTATCGGTGTCCATACCCATACCCGGTCTCCGGATTCAAAGTGGACGTCCCGGCGACGAAGGTTATACCGGCGTGTGTCGACCCGATGTTGGTCTTCAATGCTAATTCTTGCCGGTCGGCGAGCTTCTTCCACGCGTTAAGAGATCAGTTGAGCGTCGTCGTTGCCATCGTCGGTTGACACGTGAGGCAGCGTGGCGTCAAATATCGTGGTAACCGTCCGGCCGCGTACCAGTTGGAACGGCGTCATTCCCGTGGTTTCTTGAACCACTGTGTTGTACGCAAACGTTACGTACGGCGACACCTCGTCCCACGTCTTGTGATCTACGTGGACGTACATGGAGATCATGTCGGCGATGGTCTTGTTGAGCCTTTCTTCGGCCCGTTGGTATGCGGGTGGGACGCCGTGGTGCGACGATGTCTGATGAGGCTGAGACAAACGATTTCTTGCATCAGCTGGGCCATGAAAGACGATCCTCGATCTGTGATCAGCACTTCAGGTGCGCCGTGTCGAAGGAGAATGGACTCGACGAAAAACTTGGTGGCTTCAACCGCTGTTCTCGATGGAAGGGCTTTCGTCTCGGCGTATCGTGTAAGATAATCGGTCGCCACGATACTCCACCGGTTTCTTTGCGTCGATGTTGGGAACGGCCCAAGTAAATCCATTCCGACCTGCTGAAAGGGCACAGTCGAGGCAGGTATCGGCTGCAGGACCCCTGCTGGCTTCATCGAAGGCTTCTTACGTCGTTGGCTCTCATGGCACGACCGTGTGTACAGATGGACGGTTTTCGGGAGTCAAGGCCAGTAGTACTTGTCACGAATCCGGACGAGCGTCCTGCTGTAGCCGAGGTGTCCAGCCGTCGGGTCGTCATGGGCCGTGACATGCTTGAAAGATTTCTTCTCGCAGGCTAGCAGGAACCACCAGAAGCCAGGCAGGGTTGGTGGTTCCGAAGTTTTTCTTGAAGCGCACGCCTTGCCGCAAAACGAACCTTGACAAGTCTCGGGCAAAGACTCGCGGAACGGAACCGCCTTGACCTTCGAGGTAATCAATCACAGCGCGAAGTTCCGGGTCGTCTCGTTGAAGTGCTCCCATGTCGGGAACTGTACCTGCGCCGAGAAAACGGGCGTCATCGTCGTCGTCGGTCCTGTCGGTAGGAGATTCGACTGGGGCCCTAGAGAAACAGTCGGCGTCGTTATGCTTGCGGCCAGACTTATGCACAATGGTTACGTCGAATTCTTGCAGTCTAAGACTCCAGCGAGTGAGGCGTCCTGACGGGTTCTTGAGGTTGGCAAGCCAACCGAGAGCGTGGTGGTCCGTGACAACGCGAACGGGATCTCGTATATGTACGGGCGGAGCTTGGCTAACGCCCAGACGACAGCAAGACATTCCTTGTCGGTCGTTGAGTAATTTTGTTCTGCCTTGGACAGTGCCCGGCTTGCGTAAGCGATCACCCTATCTGCTCCGTCTTGTCCTTGGACGAGTACCGTGCGGAGTCCGGCGTTGCTGGCGTCCGTGTGAACTTCCGCTCCCGCTGAGGCATCAAAGTGTCCGAGGATGGAAGGGGACTGGGGTCTTTCCTTCAGTTCGCTGAACGCTTGTTCTTGCTCCTCCCCCCACTGTAAGTTCACGTTGTCCTTTAGCAGATGTGTGAGCGGCGCTCCATGAAGCGGGAAACGTCTGTGGTAAGCGCACAGCTCCATGAATCTTCGTACGGCTTTCTTGTCTGATGGCTTCGGAAATGCTGCCTCACGGTACCCTCAAGAGAGAGGTACAGGTTTTGGAGGCGCTGCTCAGTGGTCCATCCGTTATGGCGAGCTACACGTTCATAGTGCAGAAGCCAGTCCTCCACGTCCTCGTGGGTCTCGCCATGGAAGGTCGTCGGGGTTCTCTGGGCGACGGGCATGTAGACCACGGCGACGGCTGTCGGGGTGTGCGACGACTGGCGGTCCATCGTCGGCCTCGTTGGCTGCTTGGCCTTGGTTGGCAGCAGTCCGTATTCCTGGTGTAGGCCCTGGGTGCGTTGACTTACTCGGGTCTCGGTGGTGTCTTCGTTGGGGCTACGTGGGATTGGTGTCGCACTTGCACTGCGGGCCCTGGGAAGAGTACGCTGCATGGACATGCGTTACCCCGCTCCTCCACCAAAATGTCACGAATGACAAGTGATGAGGCGGCGAATAACTGAGTAAACTGAACGTTTAATAGAACGAACTTGTGCCCAGAACAAAAATGAAACAGAGGATAACAACAGACCGTCGCGGGCCTGAATATCTACTATTGGATATTTTGTCGTGTTCGGTATTTAGGCTTGTGGACTATACAGACATGAAATAAGAACGCACCACGCATTTGAATGATGGAAACTCCTAAGCCATTTTATCAAGTGGCTGACATAAATTACAGAACAAAACAGTACTTTCGCCACAGAATTGTGTTATTATTTCGTTAGCATTAGAACGCTCGTTTTGGCGAAACCTCGGAGGTGTCTGTCAATTTGTCAGCGCCGGAGAGAGAGGGAGGAGAAGGAAGAGAGGGTGAAACGTGCGCGCTCCCATTGGTTCGAAGCGCTGAAGTCGGCACGCGTCACCCTCTCTTTTTCTTTTTCTTTCTGGAGCTGAGAAACTGAGGGACAGCTCAGGGTTTTCGTCAAACGGAGCGCTTTCGTTTTTGTCAAAGGAGCGTCGCACAGCTGGCGCGGAGCCAGCGAAGAGGCGGCGCCGAGGCGCGGTGGAATGCGAACGTGCTCCGTTGCCACACTGCCGTCACCATATGTTCTTCACTTTGGGTTTTCGTAGTAGCAATACGTGATTTGTGATGTGTATAGTCAAAACGATGGATGCGGTTCCCTCCACGAATGATATGATTGAGGTTCCTCTCACAAGTGATATGGGTGTGGCTCTTTCCTCGAGTGATATGGATGACCGTATCCAAGGGCGTCGACGCACTTTGACAGGCAGAGTTCAGAAAAGGGGCGAAAAGGTTACAGAAAGATCCATCGGTGGATTCTTGGGGGATGCGTTAGCATGACCCTTGGTATATGACAAACACGTCCCCTTTTGGAAAGCGCAGTGACGCCGTAGCGAGGCCAAGAAGGGGCAGCAAAAATAAAGGAAGCAAAAGAGAAAGCGGAAAGAGATAACCAAAACTGAAAAGTGGAGGGATCATATGGGCAATCTAGACAATACCTCCTTTACAATAATTTTACCTATGTAATGACTAGTGTAGGCGACTCGATTGAACAGTCTTATAAAACGATATAAGACAATTAATTCTCCTTTCTGAAAAGACTCGAGTATATGAGAAAGAATAATGAGACGTGAATATATAAAGAAATAGTTCTAAGACTACAAAACTTTCCAATATGTTTATTTATTTTTCTTTCCTTGTACATCTATGGATATGTCCTCGATATTGACTGTACTATGTTTGTACAGTAGAGGGCTGGTGCAACCAATCTAGCACGTTTAGTAGTTTGCGGTACTTAACATTCATAGCACGGCAATAATTTTAAGAGTGCAAACTGGTGCAATGGGTAGCTGTATAAAAATATTAGGCTATAATATTTATAAGGTTTCGATGAGCTCGCTCAAACTTACGGGCACACAACTCTTACCTGTTACATTTTGTGTACCTTAAACTCGTTTCCACCTCAAGAACCGTAGTGAAAACCGTGCGACTATTCGCGGGACATTACCAAGTTCCCACTTGATCTGGCGCATTAAACAAACTTGTATTTCCCTATAAAATTAGTGATTGGCTATCAACCTAAACGCGCTCAATTCAAATGCATACTGCTTCCTGGTTTTCTCTCTTAATGAAACCTTGTAAGAACTACTCAGTGCAAGTATGATATGCGCAAAACCTCTTTTGTCTTAAACGTGCCAACGAGTGTGGCTTTAATGTCGGTTCCTGACTAGGGTGGGAACAGTTTTAGAAAACCGCAAAGCAAACGTACTAACGGTTTCTTTTTATTAAAAGCTTTCCTGTTGGATCGAGCTACACGAATATAAAAAAGTAAAAACTTTTTGATTTGCTATATGACGATTACCGAACAAAACTACATTTATTTTACTTAAAATTGTTGGGAACAGGATGATATGCCCTGCATTCAATTCTCGTTCTGGAGTCCTTACTTGCTAATCAGGAAAGAGGCGCCAATTTGTGTTCCCGACGTCCGTTCAGAACATATTGGAACTTATGCCTCACACCTGAAAACTACAGGCGGATATATATTTCACCCATGTTCCAGTCATTGCCTCCTAACTTTTCTTGAATATTCCTGAATACCTATGACCCTAGACAACACAAGTTATCTGGTTCTTTATAAAACCAGCTAATGTATGAAATAACTGGGAATATACAACCTACTCTAAGTTCCCCGGAGCTGAGTATCCAAATGGTTTCACACAATCCAGCTCAAGCGTTCTCAAAATGAAAGTGAGTTAAATGCAAATTCTTTGTACTATGTGGAAGGTGGCTTTATATTTGCACTAACAACCATTTAGTTAAGTGAGCCGCCATTGCAACCATTGTTTGACAAGGTCTCTGTCCAATTGTGCTTGTGCTCAAATACCATTGTGCTCACAACGTATTTATATACGGAATCCACTGGGATATTGGTTCTAATATTGTATTGACCAAGATTTTTGGTATGTTCGTTGCCTGATTTTACTTTCAGCGTGGACCTTGCTGACAATTTTAATGGCCATGCTTACAATCACGTGATGGGCAAGTGCGGATTTTCTTATCTCTCTACGTTTGATTTTATTTTTTATGAGAATCATTAAGGCCCGCTTCAGACGGACCAATTTCATCCAGCCACTTAACGTCGCAACACCGGCAACACCGGGCCGTCCGCGTTCACACGCAGCAACCGAATTGCTCGGACTTGCTATCATCATCATTCACTTTAAATTTTCTTGCACAATTTAGACGCCCAGCTACGTGTTAGAAACTTGCTTTTATATCTTTGAATGGCGTTGAGAATACTAACTCACCTTTCTGAAAAGGTTTATTCCCAAAAACGATCGATATCAAACCAGAACCAAGTCTTCAGCTGTCATGATCACTACCACGGGGTGTCACGTGAAACTATCGCGTCCCTGATTGGCTGCTGACGCTTCAAACGGCTCCGAGTTTTTCGAGTTGATCGCCCGTTTCGCGCCGGACCCAATCTCAGCAATTCGTGTCGATCTAGGGAAAGCTAGGGAACAACCCGCCAGCAACCTCAAAATTGCTGGAAAAGTTGCCCCGTCTGAAGCGGGCCTTAGGACCGGAGTTTTACTTCTGCAATTCCAAGGTTATATACCGTCTTAATACTTGTAATTCAATTGAGTTTTAGTAAGTATAGTGATGACATTGTGAGAATAATTATTATTTTTATAAGAATGATTGCTGCAGCAAACAATAAATATGTAAGAGCTAACTGAATGTTCAGATTGCATCGCGAAACGTGCCTGGTAGTTGATAAAAAGGCTCTTGATAAAATAATATGTTTAAAGAAATACGAAAATTAAAGTTGGCGTGTTTTTTGTGTTTTTTTTTAATTTGCTATATATAAACTATCGAATACAAAAGCCACAGAAACACTAGCTGGTTGTTGAAAAACGAAAGGAAGTGTATATTGAAACGACTAGAAAAATTCTGAAATTTCACGTAGCGGATGCATAGGAACCTTTGTTCGGGGGACCTGAGATCAATGACCTTGCAAGAGAGGTGCTGCGCCGCAGGAGTACGGCCTCCTGGTGCATACCTGTAAGCCCTGTACGCAAGCACGAGTGACTGGCGCCGCCACCGTTGAGCTGGGCTGCACCGGAAAGCCTCGTTGAGCCGTTCCCGTTTTCACGCAAGTTAACTGATGGATGGCCATCTCCTTCGAACAGTTCATTTGCTTTGTTGGAGGCATCAAATGTAAGCACTAAATGTTCGCGGCAAAGGGCATCGGCAGCAGCAGGGTGAAACTACGTCACTACTGCGACTCCGGTGATTACGTCATAGCATTTTGCACAGCCGAGACTTAAAAAAAATTCCGGTTTTGTCATGAAACTTCCACGGCGACAAAACAGGCGTCTGTGTATGTGGTTTGTAAGCGCGTATATTTTGGCCACACGAGTGCCATAAAGCTTTTACGTTGCATGGCTTCCCGTACGAAAATGTCAGATTGTAGCGGTTCCAGTTCGGATCCGCGGGATTCTAAACTTGTGGACAGTTCCGATTCGCGCGATTCTGGGAGTAACCAGTCGGATCCAGGGAGACGCAACGCACTGGAGTCGCACAGTGTTCGGTGGATCCGATCCGCTCCCCTTGTTCCAGTAGAGTCAGCTGCCAGCCAGCGGGCGCGCACACGCGTGACTGGAGGAGGAGGGGAGGGAGGGGTGGGCTTAAGGAGGGGGGGGGGGGGGGGGTCGGCAGATAATTTCCGCGATTTCTCGCAGGTCACGGGTTAGGGACAGGCGCATCCGCTGCGGAGGCGCTGCGAGCGGGCGTTCTCCGCGCGCACGCCTGGCCTGGCTTTGTCTGTTGCCTGTTGCAGACGACGTCAGCGCAGCGCCGAGAGTTTAGCCACTTTAGTTTCCTTCTTCGCTCTCGTAGGACTGTCAGTAGGCGCCCGCCCGGCGGCGACGTTTGCGCTGCGGGCGCACGGATCAGTGCTGCCAACCGTAGGGTAATTACCCTACTTGTAGGGTATTTTAGGCATTTATGGTATATTGTAGAGCTGTACGGCCGTCCGGCCACTTCCCCGCCAAAAGCAGGGTATTTTCAGACGTTGCTTCTTCAACGGCGAGCATAAAAAAAAAAGAAGCTGCCGCGCAAGTTTTGCATAGCTTTACAACCCGTGTGCTGCCACACCATAACATCATGCAAAACGAAAGGATCAAGTTGCAAGATGTGCTAACTGAGAGCACCACACACAAAGCTGGAGTATGCAGGCTCCCTAAGTTGGAGAGCTGGAGCAAGTGGGAGAGGTGGGAGGAGGTGGAGTTGCGCTTAGGAAGTTTGGAGCCAGAAGAGGTATCTTCCCAGTGGAAATGGTCCCGCCAATTTTTTTCTGATGACTGGTCCATCCGGCGGTCCTTGGTACACCTGCGAAACACATGGCACCGCGGGCGGAACCATCCCGAGCCCACCAGGACGGGTCCATATCGCTTGAGCGAATGATGTTTTAGCGAACAGCGACATTTGAGCGAATCGACGTTGTAGCGAATAACGGGGGCCGCGCTGCGGTCACGCAGTTTCGCCGGCGACAGTCTGCGGCGGCTCATTACAAAAGTGTGAACCCCTTTGGCCCACCCGAAAACGCCGCTTCGCGGCGTCCGACTATTCGCTAAAGTGTCATTCGGTGAAACGTGGGCATTCGCTAAAACGTCATTTGATCAAATGAGTGCATCCCGGGGACTGGAGGCGTTCACTTGAGTGAACGACGTTTTAGCGAACGAAGCCAAAACAATGATGTTTCATCGAATGAAATTTTTGCGAATACGGAGGAGCCGCCGGTTTCCTATCCTCCCCTGATGTAAAAGCCTAGTTTGTCCAAATAGTGCCTTCGTTTGACGAATCCCTAGGCGGTACACCCAAAGAAGCTAATATACCATTCGGATTAGCTTCCTTTTGTAATGAGCCGCCTTGTCTGACGCTGCGAGCGCTGGTTCCGCGTAGCCCAGTTTTTTTAATTTCACGACAAATCGACTAAACATTGGTTGGGGATGTCTGTGCGCTCGCTACATCAGTGTTGAGCAGATGCTACACAGCGCACATGCAAGATGCAAGTATGGTGTTCTAAAATAACGCAGGTATGCGCGTGCATGCGTGTCCTGTCGCTTTGTACTGATTTAATGTTACCCTGTATCATCATAATCCATGCAACAGTATTATTTGAACAAAGATTTGCCTCGTAATAAGAAACATTCGTAGGATAATGTAGGGTTCTCTGGACGCTGCCGTGGGGTATTTTTGAAAAATAGGTTGGACACACTGGCACGGATACTGATGCACCCATGGTTGCCCTGGATGGACACCCACTGATTTCAGCTTTAAATCTTTATATAGTGTGAAGCTGCCCACCCATTCCACTTTGACTCGGCATCTGGATGCGCTTGGCGCTGGTGTGCTTGGTGAAAATACTTGCACAACTCGGATACCGCTTGCCCGCCGGAACTTTCCGATGCACTCCAACACTGGATACTGTGCTTGTGCGAGCTGTGTGTGTTTGTTCCGTGCACCGTGTTTGGTGACGACGCGCGCCTTGCATTGTCCGCTGCAGTTAGCGGCAGCGCTTCGAGAGTTTCGGTTCTTCTCCGCTCCCGTCGGACTGTCGGTCGTCGCTCGCCCGGCGGCGACGTTCTCGCTGCGGGCGCACGGATACTGACGCGCCCATCGTTCCCCTGGATGGATACCCGCTGACCTCGGCTTTGAATCTTTATATAGTGTGAAGCTGCCGACCCATTGCAGTTTGGCTCGGCATCTGGATGCGCTGGTGTGCTTGGTGACGATACTTGGACAACTCGGATACCGCTTGCCCACCGGAACTTCCCGATGCACTCAACACTGGATACTGTGCTTATGCGTGTTGTGTGTGTGTTCCGTGCACCGTGTTTAATGACGACGCGACGACGCCTGGACGACAGTGTGCGCTGCCGGAATTACCGCTGCGCTCACCAATGGACCCTACAGAAGTCTTTCGCGCGATGCCCTTAGCCGTTTCAAGCGAGAGATCGTCGTGATTTCAGGCCAGTCCGCCTGGGTGTGAAATCGCGACGATCTCTCGCTTATAACGGCTAAGGGCATCGCGCGAAATTCTTTTGTAGAGTCCAGTGGTGAGCGCAGCGAGAATTCCGGCGGTGCACCGCCTGGGTTTAAAATTGGGGCTGGAAATGCGCGGTTCCAGGCTGGATACAAACTGATGCCGCAATTTTGGGTCTAGGCGGAACCGGCATTTTTCATTCCAACAGGCTCAGAATTTATTCGACGTTGCTGATTGTTTTTATCAGCTCGAACGATCTTGATTGGTCGGGTGTGAAAAGTAAATAAAAAAAAAAACTCCTTCCGTCAGCTGTGTGAGCCACAGTGTGTGCTACGTCACTCACTCCCCAACACTCCTCTACCCTTGTAGAACAGACGTGATGGGGGCAGACGACTTCGCGTTGATCGTCGTGGAGATTAGGGAACTGGAGCTGGGACACCATGATGAGACACTTGGCGGAGGACGTCGAACTGGAGATCTTGAACTTAAGAGAAGATTGTAAGGGGCAGCACACTTGGATGGTGCGAGACCGCCGGACGTGCATAGACTATGCGCTCGCGTCAAAAAGACTTGGGAGCAATCTTCAAAAGGTGGTTGTGGACGAAGAAGGTGAGTGGAGCGTCAGCAGCGATCACAACAGCATTTTCCTGCACTTCGGCACTGTTCGAGGAGCTCCGAGTCGTTCACAGCGCAAAGTTGTAACTCACCTACGCGAAGACGACATATCCACTGTCGTTCAAACTTTTAACGAGAGCACTCGACGTATGCACGCACTAAGCTACGAAGACTTTGCAAAAGAGCTCAGGACCATTATCGCTAATGACTCCACCGTCAAGAGCGCACGAGTAAAACGAAAACTTGTCCCATGGTGGGACGTCGAAATTAAGAGGTCCATCCAAGTACGACAAGAAGCTAGTCGGCGGCATAGACAACCACTGAGGACTCTTGGAAAACATCCCGTGACCTTGCAACTATGGGAGGAGTACCACAAGTGCAAGATACAAACGCAGGGCACTGTGGAAGCAAAAATACAAGCCCATGACTGCAAGGTGATGGCGGACATCAAAGAGGCAGGAAAAAAGGCCGTCGAAAAGTTCTGGAGATATTTGGGATCTTTGGCTGGCAAAGACAGTACCCAAGAACTGCTAGGTTACGACAGTGGGTATCCAGTTCAGAATATCGGACAACTTCTTGAGACACAGCTCTACACTCTGTTTGGAGTTGCGGATGTAGAAATTTCCTCGGAGAACTGGAAAACTCAGAGCCGAATCATAGAGGACGTTCCATTGTCAGCATCTAATGATGAATTTGTATAACTAGTGGGGCGAGTGCATGTAGACCGTGCACTCGCGCGGTTGAATGCAACACTTCTCAGGGCCTAGACGGAATCTCGGCTAAGGAGCTAAAGAATTTGAGACCCGATTCCCGCGCCCAAATGGCGCAGCTGTTTAGCCGCATAGTTTGCGGCGATGAACCCATCCCAAGGGACTGGAAGCGTGGCCGAGTCACATTCATTCCTAAGAAAGGCGGCAAAAAACAACATCTGCGTGACTACCGCCCACTCACTGTAACAGCTGTAGCCTACAGGGTGCTTGCAACCATCCTTAATTGGCGCATCTCATATTGGGCCGAGGGTGATGGTGCTCTCACCGAGCTACAAAATGGTTTCCGCAGAGATCGTCGACTGGATGACAACTTGTTCACCCTGACCCAATGCATTGAGATCGCTCGGTTGGAAAAGCGGAACCCTATCTGTTGCTTTTTGGACGTTGCTAAAGCTTACGACAGTGTTCCCCATTCCTTGCTGATCAAGCGGCTCCAGCAGCTCAACATGCCGGAACCTTGGGTGGACCTAATAAAGCGGCTATATGATGGAAATCAAGTTATGGCAACGTTCAACGGAGCCTTCTCTGGTGACGTTCCGGTGCGTAGAAGACTACGTCAGGGTTGTCCGTTATCCCCCTTTCTGTACATGCTCTATACATCCGGCATGGAGAAGGGGCTGGAACACACAGGTATTGGCTTTACTCTGCGACACATGCAACACGGAGACATGGTTGAATGACGGCTCCCCGGGCTCGCTTTCGCAGATGACCTAATACTGATGGCCGACAACGACTCAGATATGAAGAAACTGCTGATCGCCTGCGAAGCGGAACCGGCTCGGCTTCGACTGCAATTCAATGTCAACAAGTCGGCCGTGGTGCTTTTCTCCGGGCAGGGCGAGAGCCTCGAATCCCCCACCATCCAGAACACTGCGTTTCCTGTGAGTAACCGATACAGATACCTTGGAGTGACCCTGACCAGTGCAGAAGACTACCTAGCAGAGCACCATGAAATTCCCAAGGCGTCAGCGCTGGGGAAGCCAAATGTGCTACGTCGAAAGAGCCTTTGCTGCTGCGATCGGTATGTAATAACCCGCGAACTGTGGAAAGCTGTCGCTGTACCAGGCTTGACTTTCGCCAATTCCGTTACATGTGCCCCCAGCGAGATCCGAGAATACCTTGAGCGGCGCCAAAGGGAAATCGGACGTCAGGCACTAGGATGCCATGGAAGAGTCGCAAACGAACTGGTCCAAGGAGACCTTGGCTGGTCCTCCTTTGAGGCACGGGAGGCCAGCAGCAAGTTGGAATACTACTCCCGATTGCGACACATGAATGGAGATCGCTGGGTGCGGCAGATTTTCCTGTACATTCACCTAAGAGGCGCGCACAAAACATAGAGACGGCGTACCATCCGACAGGGCACGAAATACGGGGCTTTCTCAATGTCCGACGAGCCTCCGACAAAGAAAGAGTGGGTTGCCAAGGTGAGAGAGAAAATTAAGACCGTCGAGGCGAACCGGTGGAGAGCAAACATGCAAAAACACTCAAGCATATGCACCTTTACGCGTCTTTCAAGACCGCCATTGCTGCAATCCTCTGGTGTGATAATACGCTGGGCAGCAGGCTCCTCTCTGAGGCCCGAGGGGGCGCCTTGCGTACCCGCCTCTATCGACGAAAATACGACAGCAACGCGACCGACACCCTATGCAGTGCTTGTGGTGAAGTGGAAGAAACTATACACCACTTGGTACTTGAGTGTCCGGCACTCGCACCGGCAGCAGACGTCAGCGCTCGCATCGAGCAAGCCCTCGGGCTTACCGAGGAGAACACGTATGTGCAGTGCTCGAAGCGGAGACTCGAGGCCTGGTGGGCAGTACATTGTCGAAACTAGTGGATACACTCCGCTTTCTAACCTTTCTTTTTTACTTTTTTTTTGGCGTGTCTATTTATTAGACGCCCGATTCAAAAGGAATCGCCACATAAATACAATACAATACAATAGATACGACCTCGGGTGGGGCAGCCTCGAAAGCGGGTGCTAGTGCGGGTGGCTCGGGAGCTCCGTCACCGGGATCACGACGGCGGAGCTGGTCGGCGTGGCGCTGGTGGTTCTTGACATCTTCTGGGGTTCTGCTCTTGTACGAAACTGGAACAACTGGTCGACTTGACGAGTCCGGGGCTCCATTTGTTGCCAGGACTGTAGCTTGATAACCAGACTGGCTTTCCTGGACGGAAATGATTAGTTTACGATTGACTGAAAGGTGTAGATAATGGAGGCAAGGCGGCGTCCAGACGTGAACGTATTCGCAACTGACTAAGCGCTAAGATGTAGAACGACCATCTTTGACGTACGTGTGACAATACTCACGCAGGAATCGCGTTAGTCGAGTCACCATGCTGCCTTTGCTCAGCCATTGGAGCCCTTCGTTTACAGTGCGGTCGGCTCGCTCCGCGATACCATTTTGTTTCTGGGAAATAGGGAGATGAGGAAAGGCTGGTCGAATATTGTTCCGCTCGCAGAATCGTTGAACCTCTGCGCTCACGAACTGGGGATCACTATTCGAGCCAACAGTACGTGGTACTCCGAACCGCCTTAACATGGACCGTAACGCGGACGTGGTGGTTTCTTCTGATGTGCACTTGAGTTGAAATGCTTTAATATTGGGCCGTTGAAGTCCACGTGCCCTCTGGACCACTTTTCGTTCGTCTCGGCCATGGAACAACCTGGGCATATTTCGGGTAGTGACTGACCATACGCTCCTAATCATGGTCAATTCCGGGGTACCATATAATGAACCGTGCTAATGCCTTCATGGCCTATGCGGCGCTGTGGCTTTCATGCAAGATAGCAAGTACAGTCTTCCACGCTCTCTCCGGTATCAGAACTCGCGGCCCCAAATGCCCCAAGCCGTGCGAGGTGGTTAGTTCGCTTCCCCTTTCCAGGTATGGCTTTAGAGTTACTTCTCCGTTATGATTCCTCGGAGGCCAGGAGCCGCTATTCTGACATTTGTTTTGTGGTAACAACATTTGAATTACACGACTAAATTTGGTGCGATCTAAGACTACTCGATTTTTTACAGGACAAGCGAAACTTGGAGGTCTCTGCAGTGATGGAAGGCGCGTGGCAATAGTGGAGGATGCACCACCCACATACTCTTTGATTCAAATTATAGCGCATGAACTTGCACATACGTAAGTATAGAATGATATTCTGATTACTACACACTAAATGATGAAAGAAGGGTAGCACTGAAATAGACCCCGTATTTCCCCAAACCTCGGCCAGTTGTCATAGAGAAGAACAATTATTGCGTTATTATTGATTGATGAGGGGTCAATTTACTGAGATACCTAAAATTTAGGATAAATAAGTCAGAATATTAGTTTTTCATAACGCACATTTTTGATGATAAAAGGTACCGCATAGTTTCAATGCAAAACATGCTCACGTTTTTCGGATACAACTAAACCAGTAAAATGAAGAAAAGCTTGGGGCATGTGAGAAGCGAGGTTGGGAATTAATTCCGCTTGAGCCATAGGCCCAAGGCTGGCGGAGCAAAAATGCCGATGATAAGGTACAGTGCTCAACGAAACGAAATGGACCAGCGGAGCGCGTGACCTCGCATTCCTGCGGCGCCATCTGCCAGGTGAAGCGGTTTTTCTGATGTCGCGAGTTCCCCATGCGTACAGCCAACACCACCTAGACAGAAGGCCTCCACACGCGTCATCATAGATCAATCGAGGCGAGAGATTGGGCACGAGTGCTGCGTCAGTGTTCGGCTGCGGCTCGTGGTCAATCAGCGCGTCGAAGGTCGGGCTCGGGTCCAATAGCCGACCGAGCGCGATCCGACTGTGATGACGTCTCATAGAAGAAGAGGAAACCATGCGGAGGCCTTCTGTCTAGGTGGTGTTGGCACAGCTGAGGCAAGCACTTAGCGGCTGCTCCTACTCTGTGCACTACCCCTGATAGCTGATAAACGCTGGCCAAGAGCTTGCCACATGACAGCCTTCTTTGTTTTTCTTTACAGTAGCGCAAACAGATTTATCTGTTTCCGAGTAACAAAGTTAAAAAAGTGACCACCACATCTCAGTGTTCATACTAAATAAATATGTAGTGTCATGAAACGTGTGTTCGTTTTGTAAACAAAAATCAAATGTCTTCCCTTTTCGTTGTTTTCTTTTTTATATATTTGAGGCAATATAACTTCCCATCTTCAAGGACAGGTAGCAATTGCGAGTGTCACGCAATAATAAAAAAGGCAGTGTACGGGTTCTTTCGTTGCTCGGTCACCTTGTGCAGTCCGGGCTGCCAGGTCCGGATGGGTGACGGTCTTCGTTATGGGAAGCTGGGCGGGTCTTGCCGGAGACGAAGTTGCTTCCCTTGGCCGTCGACGACTAATTTTGTTGAACTTGGAAATTACTTTTCAAGAATCAATTTAATACTTTTCTAGCGAATGAAAATACAAAGATAAACGATACTGCGAAAATGATGACTTCCCTTGTACGGGGTTGGGAAGGAGGTGGTCGGGTGTTAGCTGATCCAGGCTAGGGTGTTGGCTGGCTCGTGGGATTACGTCCCAATTACGGGGACAGGCGTCCCTCGGAATCCCACGACGTGACTCGATTACGGAGCGACAGCTCTCAAGCCCCAGCACGAACTAAACTCACTCGCTGAGTTTCCCATCAAAGTCACTCGCTGGTTCGTCCAATTTTAGTGGACCGGCGAATCCTCGATGCGTCGTGAGACAGGCGTTTCCTACTGCCAACCAATCGGCTCACTTTCTCGCCACGTGGCAATTGCTTATATTTTCGGGTGGAAACCAACGGTCTGCGTATATCTCACGGTCAAAGGTCGGGCTGGTTCGGATGCAAGCAAAACCATTTCTCGGAAGGCGAAGCGAACAACCGACCCCAGTGTGGATAGCTCCGACTGAGTGAGCCATCCCGTAATTCATTCCGCCAGACGCGGTCTGACGTGGCCCTTATGCCGCGACCCTCCCCACACTCGGCCGAGAAAAACTAAACCGATGAAAACGCGCCGTATAAACACCGCCGGCCAGAGCCACTGCGTTCTGGTGGAGGGGGTCATACACTCTAAGCTCGGTAACCCTCACTATAGGTGCACCTTTTCAAATTTTAGTATACCTTTACTTTATAAGGTACATTGTAACCTATAGCACTGTAACTTTTAGTATAGGTATACATGCTTCAGATGTTTTAGAGGTTACATTGTATGCTTTTACTGTTTGCCATTAGTTGTAACCTTTAAACGGTGCAACAAATTGAAAGGTTACAAAACTATTTATTCCACAACACGCAAACAAATATATGCTGAAACTTTGATGACACACTGGTTTTGAGAAATATGCTATCTTGACAAAGCTCCCTCATATTTAATTGACTGTTGTGTCAAGCAAGCTTAAGACCTCATCCGCTAAAATATACTTAAGCCCATACGCACATTCGCGTTTGAGCGCGGTGCGTTCCGTAGCGGCAAACGGACGCGTTGCGTTGCGAAGACTGCTTGCGCCAAACTTGTACGCACAGTTGTGTTCACACGCAGTCAACCGCAGTCAAGAGCCAATAAGAACGCGCTATCGTCGCTAGTGGCTCACCAATAGGAAGCGAAATCCAAGGCAACATGGCGGCGCACAGCGACAGCGTCGAAGTGTTTGATCTTGGGACAATCTCGCCGGCTTCCCCGACGTTTTGTCAAGCTTGAACCGTCGCGGCCTTGGAAAATACAGTCCCCACCGCTCCCCAAACCGAAAAAGCAAGCACTGCGACCGGCGAACCGGATACGTCTCGCCGAGTCGGCCGGGTGGGGCGAGCGAAAACGTCACCCCCTCTCCTCTTTCGGCTCCTGATTGGTCGAACGCACCCGAACGCACCGCAACGCTTCGGAAAGTTGAGCGAGTCTCTACTCGCTTGCGTCGCGCTACCGAGCGTTGCGAGAAGGCGCGCGTCGCTCCGCAAGCGACCGCGCTTGGCCGCAAGGACTCCGCAACGCACTCTAACGCGTTCAAACGCGAATGCGCGTATGGACCTTTAGAACAGCACATCCTCTACAATGTGAGTCAACTTTGTAAAAAAAATAAACATATTTCTCTAACAACTGTGTCGTCAAGCTTTCATCAGTTTGTAGCATCATAGAAAATGTAATATTTTTTCTATAAATTTATTGGTGAATTTTTTTAATGGAAGAGGTATTCAAAATATGATGGCACCTGCAACAATCATTACCTATCAAACTTATACTTAACAGCTTCCTGGGCCTTTCCGACAGAATTATGAATCACATTGCACAAAAAGAAGAATGGTGAAAATATTTATTGGTAAAAGCAGCTTATAACAGATAATAAAGGCCTTACCGGCAATGGGGGCAAACAAAATTTAAATCGTTACCATGAAACAGCAAAAAAAAAAGAAAACAAATCTACTGCACCACTAAAAAAAGAAAAAAAATTCGCGTATGATAATTGGTGATTAAGTCTGGAGCGAAACCAACTATATTATTCAGCCTTTCTTTCCTCAAAAACGTCCTTTTTCAACAGTGCCAATAGACACTTCAAACGCCTTCCCATGACACCTTTGGGCACAGGTTCGCCCGGCGCAGTCAGCTTTTGGACGAGCAAGACCATTTGCGAAAACGCATACGGGTATTTCAGGTTGTTGATGTAATACGTGAGAAAACACAGAATTAGGGCGCGCTCCAGACTGCCAGTTGAAAGTCGAACGACTTCAGCTTCGCTGCCAGCAAAAATGCAGATCCCTTTTGAGGTAGTGTAAATGTGGGGTGCAGTGACTTGTGGCTCTCTTTCTAGCAGTGGTTCCTACAAAAAGAAGTGCACAAGGTATATTTTTGCTGACACAAACAAAAAATGACTCATGGCTCTGGGTGCACTGAGGAAGAGTCAGATTGTGTTTTGTGTTTCTTGCGGCTTCGAGGTTGCTGGCCGCCGCTGTGGAGGACTCGTCCGCCTGTCAAATTTCTTGCTGCTCTTTTTTGGACAGTCTCTTTTAGGCGGGCCTTTGCCAGTGTTGTTGCGAGAATCAAGCTTGCGTCCATTTGTAGCGCCTCCGAAAGCTTCGTATTCATGGAGCCTACAGTGAGGCGGACTTGGATCATGCGTTCTTCGAACTTTCTATAATCGCAGCAGTCTGGTAGGGAGTGCAAGGCGGTGACGAACTGACCGACCGACTCTCCTGGTTCCTGAATACGTCGATGAAAACAGGCGCTCTCGTACACCAGGTTCCGTGCCGCGACGAGGTGGTCATCGCACCGTTTCTTATCGGTGTCGTAATTCGTCGCGTCAGCATCGGACAGAGCAAAGGTTTGAAAAACTTGCCGCGCTTTTGTTTCTATGGTATAGAGTAAAGTTCGTACCTGGGCTTCTTCACTTAGTTCCTGAAGTTTCGGTGCAGAACGGCAGTCGTCAAATTGTTGGCTCCAGGTGGGCCACTCCGGAGAGCGGTCGAAGACGAAAGTGGACGGTGCGGTTACGACGAAAATTCCGCTGAGGAGCTTCGAGCCGTTGTTTTCCGCCATGTCTGGTAGCTCGGCAAGAACGGGCCAATTCCGCCCAGATGTTGGTAACCAGACAGCCCCGGTTAGGCGTGCTGCGCTTCTGACAACCATGTCGCGTTATCACTTGCGCCGCGCTAAGAAGCAGCCAAAAGAATGAGCCACAGGAATTTCCATACACACATTTTGTAATAACAGCATTTCCAATCTCCACTGAATGTCATATTTTCATTGGTCACCTGTCGCCCTGGCTGCTGGAACAATGCTCTTTCCATTGTCGGTTAGGACCTTGCTGTGTTCAATCTTCGGTTTCTTTTTTAATAGAAAAATCGGCCACTCATCGTTATGATTTATGGTTTTCTAGCATGCCTAGAGCCTGTAGAGTGAGTGACCGCCATATTTAGGTGATCTCAGAAACCCCCTCAAGGCGCCTTTCATGTTCGGGTTTTCAGTGGCGACTTAAGCTCAGGGCTCCACACGCTTGCCTCGTAAATTGCCCCATTTCTTCTTTCTTTCTTTTAATTTTTAAAGAAGCACCATATGGCTCAAAAAGCATGTTAAGAGATTTGAGCTTAATATTGAAATACTACTAATATGAATTTCTCGTATACTTACCACTTCTTTTTAAAAACTCGCAGACTTGGAGCTACACATGATGGAGATGCTACTTTTAAAGACATAGCTCATATCACGAACAAAACGTGCAGTAGTTACACCGGTCACATGATGGCACCCTCAGCTCACGGAAGCAACAACGGGCACTTTTCGAACTGCTCCATTGAACAGATTAGGGCGTTTGTAAGGTAAGGAAAACGTATAGACTTAAAGTTGACACTCTCGTTAGATGCAATGGCAGAATGTCGTTTGCAAGCATCTACGGTAGTTGTGTCACTATTCTTGACTTCATCTCATCCCTGGAACATCTGTCACTTGTGATCTCAAGTAATAGTCACATGCTTGCGTGGTAAATGCACGTGGCGGAGCCTCACAGCTTTTTTTCCAATGGACGTTCCCATTCATATTTTTTATTGCTTCGTTTCTCCAACCCACTAGTCTGATGTACTATGGCATGACAAATTCCTGAGTCTTGCAAAAAATTAGGGGCGCAAAAAAACGCGTCATTTTAAGAAATTCAGACGGAAAAAGTCTAGAATAAACTCATGGTGATAAATTACGTCATTCACCTATATTAAGAGAAACGCTGAGTGCCCCTTTTTTCTTAGGTTATGTACTCGTACTTGGGCAGCCGTAACGGCCAACGCATTTGGCGCGCCTTGTAAAAATTTAATTCCAAAAATGCATACCTGAATTTTGGCACGGGAACGTAGATTTGCAAGGAGATTCATGTATATTTTTGAAGCTCAAGTCAGAAGTGTAAAATATTAAAAAAAGAGAGAAGAATGCTGCCAGGCATTTTCCATGCCCTATATCGGAGCTTCGTCGCCTGAACAGTGGTTTGTAAGCTTTCCTCAAGTGGTCATGCTTCATATATATCGTTAAAATAATTATTTACCGTTACCGCGCTTACATTGCTCATCGCCATCGTCTACAATAGGTTCTTAGTGTTTTAGCGTTCAGCAAGTCGCCCGAGAGCGAGCTAATAAACTAGTCTTCAGACGACAAACAGGCTGCCATAAAACAAAGGGAATATACGGCTTCCGATTTAGCCTTTGATATTTGACTACCTCCAAGTTGAACTTCAAGAAAATAGACAAAGCTTCTTGAGGAACTACGTTCCGGTGACCACTTTGAGGAATCTACTTTTGGAATTCAAATTTCTGAAGGCGTGCCAAATATGCTGGTCCTTACGACCGCAGCCTGTACTTCTGTAACTTTTATTTTCACAGTCATACGGCCAGTGAAAAAACAGTTCACATTTCGGATTTTGAAAAGTTATCAACAAGTTTTAGACACCTAAAACAAAATTCTTATTAGCACACAGCCGATGTCTACAATAAGATACCTAAATCAACGAAGAAAGGGTAAAAGCACAGGCGAGCTGGTGAAGAACTTCCATCGTAAACCGGAGACACGGAAAAATAAAAAAACGGACAAAACAACAACAAGTCTCAAACACAGCTTCTAGTTTATTTGAACACCACCGCTCTTATATATACACCACAACCCTCCTCTCCAAAGGTCGACACACCTCCTCTCCACTCCATCAACGACATCTCAAACTTTTGAGACGTCGTTTGATGGAGTGGAGAGGAGGTGTGTCGACCTTTGGAGAGGAGGGTTGTGGTGTATATATAAGAGCGGTGGTGTTCAAATAAACTAGAAGCTGTGTTTGAGACTTGTTGTTGTTTTGTCCGTTTTTTTTATTTTTCCGTGTCTCCGGTTTACGATGGAAATACCTAAATACTTGTCGAAAACTAAACATTTCTCATTCACAATATATTTTGTTTCCAGCAAACTCAACTCCAGTTGCCGCGATGTTAAATTAGAAACTTATCACATTACAACAAAAAACGTACTACCTGGGACGAAAATGGACCTGGTAGATTACTGCCGAACAAAGCATTCAAACTTTCCTAACATCACTGCAACTCAGGTAAGATTAAATATTAAGAATAAAGTGCTTAAATTCGTTTATTTTGTTATATACTTATAACAAAAGAACAGTATATGCCTACGCTTATATCATGCGACTAGGCTACCATAGCACTATATTTGATCGTGATATGAATCCGCCCTATTGTGCTACCCAACATAGCCCAATATTTGTTTAATTGTGAAACCGTGCCTATATCTCACAGAGACACAATTAACGAATTTAACCTTCAGTAGAAACACTTTCGATAATTTGTTTTATTCTGGCGTTCTTCGTCTGGCTACTGTATGGAATGTTTATTATAACATTAACCTCTGTGTTTTGTATTATTAGAATTCTTTTTTATATTAATGTAGTGTTGTCCACCCCTGTAATAGCCTTCCCGAGGTGACAGTGTCAACATAACCAAACAAACTTTATATGATTATAACGCTTAACTGAAACATAAATATGCTGTCGGTCGCGCAGGATTATTAAAACTTAAAATTAGAGTGACTTAAACCAAGGGCCTCATCTGATTTTTGATTTCAAAATGCTCTCTATGGTAGTCCCAATTTTTTAAATTTAAATAGTTTGGTATCGAAACCGCTGTCTTGATGGCGTTCGCGTGTCTTTTGTGTTTTTTCTAAGTGGGATGTCAGAGACACGAAACAGCTGACGGCTGCCAAGTATGCACTCCTCTTTAGGAGCTCGCGCTATCTAAATATTTTTTTTAATTACATCGGTTTGTCATGCGGCATAAATTCAAAGGTGATAGTGCATTCCCGTTTCCTGGAAGAAGTCCAGAAGGGAACGGTTATGCGGGCCATGTGTCCAACGTTGAACGTCTGGCAGCTAGTTAAGATGGTAGCCCATCCGGCTAAGATGGCACCAATGGGTCGCTTGAAGGCCCAGGCACGTCCGAAGGTGGTGCTTCAGATTCCCCTCGAGGACTTGGGCGGGACAAAAGGGACAGCTGGTGGATGTCCTGGTATGACCCCATTTAGCGTGGAGAGCCGGTGTAGCCGCCGCATTCACGCGAACTCCTCGTAGCGAGACCTCTTCTAGGTGGGTAAAACAGCAAGGGAGGTTAGAACCACGGGGGGATAAGAGCTCGTCTGGTGCAATACAGTGTGTCATTGTAAATTACCAGAACAGCCGAGGCCGGCAGCTTAAAAGGAAGCGGGTCGACTATCGTTTGATGATTACATGGAGCGTCTGCTGTAACATGAGGGGGAACATTAGAACGGTGAATCCAAAAAAACTAGGACCGGGCAGGTGCACTCGGACACAAACCGATTAAAGTACGTCGCCACACTGCAGGGGTGGCCAACATGACGTAGAGCGTGGATAGCTTGCATCTAGTCGGTGTAAAAAACACACCAGGAGGACGAAAACTAGCAATAAAAGGCAAAAGACCGCACAGACCGTTCCGGAGGGCCACCGATTCCGCGAGCGCCCAAGGTTGTCCAGGAAGTTACGAGCAGGCTCGATTGACAGTCGAGGTGGAGGGATAAACGAGGTATGGAGCCGTGTTTCAGTCAGTCCAGCATCCACATAGGCTACAAAGTCAGCGTCCTCGGACAAGAACGAGGGAGGACTAAACAGAGCAAAACCCGTAGAAAGAGATCTTCGATGAGTCTGCCTGAGGCCGCAACTAGGATTGTTGTCGGTGGTTTGACAGTGGCACCAAAGGGGTAACGGTATAGCGAGAGAGTCCGCTACAGGCACAAAATGATTCATGTAATGGGCCGAAGCAGCCGCCGCTGGAACTGCGTCAAGCTTTAAGCCCCGGCTTGACGACATTGGTGAATCAATTCGTCTAACGTGTTCAACTGTGCCTCAGCCTAAAGTGTAGGGTTCAGTGTTAGCCGGGAGAGGTCCGTAATGACCCGCATGGTTTCCCCGTTAAATGTTTTCAATTGGGCCCTTTCGGCCTTGGTGATGTGCTGAAACTGGGCCTGGTAAACAAGGCAAAATCGGAATCAGAATGGAGGTAACGGTGCAGTTCTCGATCCCAGCTAATGGGTACATGACCAAGCCACCACGGCAGGGCGTAAGAGGGAGAAAAATACGGGTTGGCACCACGACATGAGAGCATATCTGGGAGTTCAAGAGCGTGAATTGGATCGTCCAGAAATGTGTACATCACAAGTTGGCTTCATGCACTGGTAGAGGAGTAGCCCCAATCTATATGTGGGGTATTGAATTCCATCAATTCTAGGTGGCCAGGATACGTTCTGTGCAGATGGCGCAGCCATCCTAGGCGGAGGCGTGCCACTCCTACTATAGGATCGCATATAACATGATACTAGAATAACGTCCGTGTGAGGCAGATGTATCAGTCCAGCAACTACTTTCTGCCAGAGGGTACATCATGAAGCCAGAGGAATGGACATCTGAGGGTACTTAGTGTCCACATACACTGCTACCTGGCCTGGAATTGCTGATGAATCGGCACTGTGACGATCCCGAATGGATGGGGTGCTTTAGGCTGTAAATCCGGAGAAGCGTGAGAGCGTATATTGTTAACGTAGCAGCTTGGGCGAGTTCTGCTTCGAGAAATTATCGAAGCAGAACATATCGCCAGGAACTATAACAACTGTATAAGTACACCATCTTTACACCTAACAGAAAAAGAGAAAACATTTTTAGGCATCTAGGAGATCGGTGCGCGTGATTTGGGAAATTCGGTGGTGCTAGAGGTTGACGAAGACAAAGTTATATAAAAAGAGTTGTTAGTCAGCGCGGTTTGTTTGAATTTTGCTTTATTTTTCGTGTGTAAGGTGTGAGTGTTGTTTGCTATTGTGCGCTGTGGTGTGTGTAAGCGTGAGAGCGAGCTAGTTCCTTGAAGAAGCAGTGCTCAAGTAAAAGATTACAGACGTTTACGCTTCTCTGTAAAGCTGGGGTCAATGCTCATACATCATAGAAAAGACTTTCTGCAAACACGTGCCCCCGCGATATCCGAGCTTTGAATGTCACGTGCTGACTTTTCTTTTTGAACTCATTGCCATGTGGCATTTTAAGCATGAAAATCACGGTGACTCGCGTTCGAATCTGTGTGCAGACTGTCTTTTGTATGATGTAAAAGCAGTGTGACCCCGGCTTCATGCGAAATTAGAGCGTAGCTCTTGAGGTGCGAAATATTTTCTTATATAACGTGGCAAATAATTTAAGAATATATATATATATATATATATATATATACAACGGGCATGGTGGCGGGAGGCCGAAGGCGTGGGTATATAACTGAGAAGAAAAAAAAAACCCTTGGTGAAAACAGCAACAGCGGACGATTTAATCTTCGACGTTTCGGCAGGAGTCCGGCCTTCGTCAGGAAGAAGGCCGGACTCCGGCCGAAACGTCGAAGAATAAATCCTCCGTTGTTGCTGTTTTCAACAAGGAGTTTTTTCTTCTCAGCTATATATATATATATATATATATATATATATATATATATATATATATATATATATATATATATATATATATATATATATATATATATATATATATATATATATATATATATAGGTTTTTCTTTTTACTTTTTCATATTTAAAAAAAAAAAAAGCCGTGAAAGCTAAACCTATGCGGTTTATGCAGGTGAGCTATACGGCAAGGGGGACATAGTATAGGGAGATAGTCGCAACTATCAGTGGGCTGATTAGGTAAAATTTGTTAATTAACTGTTTAATTAGAGCAAATAGACATATAGTTTTAATTAGAAACTTGCTGAGCATCATCAAAAGCTACTAAGCCAAGTTTTTCTAAAAGGATATAACGCCGGGGCAGCATTTTATGGCGTTCTGTAAAAACACTCCATTTGGACGCGTTTCTAGATTTCGGTTTTTTATCGGAACGCATCCACGCTCCCGCGGTCCTGCACCCCAGTGGCTGAGACGCGCAACACACGTGCGCCTTACTTCCCTCCCTTCTGCGAGGGAGATGAGGGAATGGCTTCGCGCCACGACCACCAGGGATCAGGACCGCGGGCGCAAAGATGCGCTCCTATAAGAAACCCAAATCTAGAAACGCGTCCAAATGGAGCGTTTTTGCAGAACGCCGTAAAATGCTGCCCCGGCGTTAGAACCTTCTTAAAAAAGTTGATTTAGTGGTTATTGAGGATGTTCAGAAGTTTTTTTAATTGGAACTCCATGTCTACTTGCACTAATTAAAAAGTTTAGTAACAAATTTTACTTAATTAGCCGACTAATAGTTGCGAATACCTTTCTGTGCTATGTGCTCATAGCCGTACAACTCACCTGCACAAACCGCATCAGTGTAGCCTTCGCGGATTTTTTAAAACAAACCTGAAAGAATAAGTAAAAGCACCCTGTATATATCCAGATTTTTTTTTTATTTTTTATTCTTACACATTTGTTTTAAAAAAACCTTAAAAGCTACACTAATGCGGTTTGTGAAGGTGGGTTATTGGGAAGGAGGAGCGACCATGACGCCCCAAGCGGTTAACTTTAGAACTACATGGATGGGGACAACAAATACAATGATTCAGCGCTCGGCCGACATAACCGAACGCGGCGTCAGCGTTCGGCTGGAGTTCGTGTTCTCTGGTGAGGGGGAGGAAGGGCTCTTTTGTTTCCATTCCGGCCTGCATGAACAACGCAGTATGCACGGTCCCAGCTCCGCACAAAAGCCGAAGTGGGTCAAGCTCGCATCCTCTGAGGATAGATCCGGCACTTAACGTTGCTTCGTCGATTGTTACTATTCTTTATATTAAACTTTGCAACGCGCTCTATTGTAGAAGACGCCCATAAGGCCTGTCGGCATGTGCACAGACTTTGTGTTGAGTAAACACCGAGGGTGGGGACAACAAAGGGGTCAAAACGCCCCCTATACTTCGATCTCATGCCCAACACCGCCAGGCGGACATTATGTGGGTGGTTAATCTTTGCGATAAGTAGGACAATTAATTAAAATTCGTTAGTTACCTTTTTAATTAGTGAAAATGGACATATAGTTAAAATTAGAAACTTGCTGAGGATCATCGAAAACCACTAAGTCAACTATTTTAAAAAGGAAACAACGCCGGGGCAGGGTTTTTACGGCTTTCTGTAAAACGCTTAATTTGGATGCGTTTCTATATTTCGGTTTCTTATCGGAGCGTATCTTTGCGCCCGCGGTCCTGCTTTCTGGTGGTCGCGGCGCGAAGCCATTCCCTCGCCACTCTCGCAGAAGGGAGGGAAGTAAGGCGCACGTGTGTTGCGCGTCTCAGCCACTGGGGTGCAGGACCGCGGGAGCGTAGATGCGCTCCCGCGTCGGACACGGAGAGTGGGACAAAATATGCATGAGAATTGCCTCTCTGGGTCTGATAACTTCGTTTTTGGTTAAATTGGGAGCAGCGCAAAAATATTAATTGAGCAGCTCATTGATTGCCTACTTAATTTTGTTACACGCTTGCGTGTGTGTGTTCTTTTTCTAACAGCCCGGTAACTTTATGCAAAAGTGCAAACTTTTATGCTGCGCTGAAAGCGGATACCCGTGTTTTGAAGAACCCGCTGTGGATGGAATGTCGTGCGATAATGATAAGGTAAGCGCTCTCCATGTTGTAATTTGCGCCTGGTCAAAGTTACAAGAAAAACCCCCATTCGCGTACAATCTTTAGATGCCGCGTAGCAACACATTTCGCAGATAAACAAACTGGCGAAACTATACGTCTGTGTGACCGCCATCACTGTAACATTAATTTTTACCAGTTTTTTTTTTACATTGAATTTACTAACCTTATTTGTAGACGAAAATGTGGTGCTGAAGTGTGGTGTGTTGGGGTTGTGTTGTGGTGTGTGGTGTGATGGTGTGGAAAGTGTGATGGTGAAGCCCGTCGACGGTAAAACAAACCCATGATGGTAATTTCTTCGCACCGAATTAAACAGTTCGCGGTGAAATGCACAACAATAGAATTAAAGACAAAAAACAGGAGTTATTTATTTATTTATTTGTATTAAAGCACCTCTAAGCCCCATGTAGAACATACATTACAAAAGAAGGTAAAAGACAAAATTCGGTAGAAATAATAAAACAAATAGAATTATATACTCATCAAAACAAACAAACAAATCTATCACGATCCCCAAAGTAAAAACACAACGTAAAAATAATTATCATCTTTGCGTATAAAATATAAAAAAACCTTGATGTAGAACCGGACTTGTACGTAGTTCAAATACTCTACTCAAGTTGCTGTAGTTAAACTGCTTTTCTGAGTAGTTTAGTAACTTTCAAATTACATATTTATTTTAGTAATTAGTAGTTTGCTTGAATTATGTATTCCTAGTAACTTCTACTTAAATTAAAAATTACTTTCGAAATTTAGTGGTGGGTTTGCTTATCAACAAACATGCCTGCACAAAAAGAAATAAGATGTATGAAGATTAGCTGACATTTGCAAAAAAAGGGGGGGGGGCATGTATCATAGGCAGGGGAGAGGGGGATGAGGCTGGGGATGGTTTGGAGGGTCCGAGGCCCCCCTAAAGTTTCACGGGTCCCCCGTGCGTTGAAAATGTCTATAACTCTAAGATTTATGGAGAGTCTACTCTGTAGCAAGGCACTCGACAGAGTGAATCGCTGCAATCTACGGTTGGGGCTCGGCCTAGGACGACGCTGATATAATGTTAACACCTCAAACAAACTGTCTGCACTGTGGCACTGAGCACGGCGTTTCACCCTGCTCAGTGCCACAGCGTACTCTGTTTGTATGTCGTTGTTCTTTTTGTTGTTTCAAGGTGTAAACATATTATCAACCTCGTCATTGTTTGAGCACCCTCCAGAGAATGCAGCAACTGGCTCTGCCATGTGTTCAGCGGGCAAGTAGACGCTTCATATTACTTGATATATGTACAGACCAAAGACTCCCTCTCAAAATAGATCCGATCGCAACCACCGCTGGTATCCGATAGCCACTCGGGCACCGCCAAAATTGAGTCATCACGGCGCTCGTCCTGTTTTTTGCCTTTCACATCACCCGCTAAATCAATCACGGACAGAGAAAAGAAGAGGATCACAGCACATTCTCCCCGCGTGATTGGTTTAGAATCTGGTAACAAGCGCACACACATATTATAAGCGCCACAACAAAGCCCTTTTTGCACTGGTCGATTGCCTCCGTCTCATCCTTACGTTGGCTGCGGTCGAACCCACTGTGAAACGGAGTGTAGCTACAACAGTTGGCTGACGTCATTAAACTCTTCTTCCTCCGCGCTTATAGCAAAATTCTGTTTGATCCGGAGTGCCACCGGTTCTCTTTGCGATCACATGACCGCTTACGCCAGTCGACGAGGGTTCCTTCGTACAAACACAGGCTTTTGCTTGAGTGCTGACAGCTCAGTCATTTTTCTGCCTTATCGTTTGTTTTGTTTTTGTTTTTTTTATCCGAAGACATTAATTTTTTTATTGAGCGAGGCCGGCGGCGTCTGAAGCCGTTGTCTGTAACAGCAAAAAAACAGCCTTAAATGCCCATTGGCTGAACGAAACGGCATTTTAATTCCCATTGGCTGCGATGCGTCATATCAGATGCTTTGTCACAGGACCCGGCGAGGCCGCTCGTGGTCAAAGCGGCCGTGCCTCAGAAATAAAACACAAAGAAAAGCACAGCAACGCAGATGCGTCGTGACGGAAGTCGTGGATCCGGCGAGCGCGCCGCGCCTGCGCAGGTTGGGGAGCGCGATTTCACCGCGTTGGGCCGTGTGAAAAAGACGTGGTGCGCTGCTTGTAGGATGTGCTACTTCTAGGCGAAATCCACCATCGTTGTCCAGTCTTGGAATGCATAGCGGGGTGGAATGCGCGCGCACCGCCGCACTCCCTTTCGGCGCTGCGGCCGCTTCTGCTCCTCTCGGCGCCGAGAATGCTTTCGCATTCCCAACTCATGACAAGTGCCTAGGCGCCCTCGGAAATTTCGTGCCTAGATATACTGGGTGTTTTTTTTTTTTTTTTTTTGTCTTTTTTTTAGCTCTACATGTTTGTTTTTTTTTATTTGTTAATGCTACACTTATATGGCCGGCGGAGGTGAGTTACACGACCAGGGGGACTAGAACAGGCGGCTAATCGTAATGATCAGTTGGTTAATTAAGTAAAGTTTGTGACTTAACGTTTTTAAATAATGAAAATAGACATGGTTCCAGTTAGGAGCTTGGTGAGCGGCATCAAAAACCATTAAATCAGTCATTTTTAGAAAGACTTTGGGCTCGTAAGAAGCGTAGTAGTGCACTAAAGAAGCGTAGTAGCACGCCAAAGTTACCACTCGTGGAGCAGGGACAAGGTTAGCGGTTGCGGTAAGGCGCCCGCTCGATTTTCCCTTCTCTTATGCGAGCCCCAGCCTTGTACCTACTCCACGAGTGGTAACTTTAGCGTACACTGCGCTTCTCACGCGCTCAAAGTCTTTCTAGAAATTACTGATTTAGGGATATCGGACGACGCTCAGCAAGTTTCTAATTGTAAGCATTGTGAGAATCGGCCCGCTATCACCGTGAAAGGACGCGGGAACAGGCTCTTTTCTTGGCGTGTTTGCGTTTGCACGTGTGCCCCGGTGTGTGGGTGAACTGGCGACGCTCGTGCGAGCTGGGGCAAGGGACATTTTTTGAGAGGAGAAGAAGACGAGGGCAGCACGTGGTGTAACCTTCTGGAGACATTCGGAAATTAGCTTCGCTTGTAAATAGACGTGTTTTTTTTTTCTTCCCCCTTTCCCCGGAGTCCTGTCTGCTTTACTCTTCCGTCAGCGACCATCAGCTGCCTCCGTCGTCGGGTCCCGGCGCAATCTCCAAGAAAGAACATCTTTAGTAGCATATGTCTATTTTAATTAATTAAAAAGCTAATTAACAAATTTTAACTAATTAACCAACTGATCGTTATGATTAGCCCCCTATAACATGTCCCCCTGGCCGTATAACAAAATCGCTCCTGCGAAAACTACTCATCGCAATAATAAAAGGATTGTGGCGTTTTGGTCCTGGGCGAGGGGCCCATTTAGGAAAATTATTAAAGCCCGGAATAATTAAGATTTAATTATTTTTGCGTAATTAACTTTTTTATTATTGTGTTTAAGGGCATGGTTTAAAATAGAAAATTGCTCAGCATCATCAAAAAAAAAAAAAAAACGCGAAATAAACAAAATGCAGAAGGATAGAAAGCACGCGAAGCATTTTACAGCTTTCTGAAAAACCCCACAAAATTGGCGTCACTACGGGCTCCGGCCCCCGTATTTGTATTACGGGCCTGTTCTAACCGCGCTTTATACGCCCTTTTACCGCGCAAGTCACGCACTGAATGCGCCAGCGCGTCGCTCGCTGGCCCATTCAGAACAGCAGAGGGTGTCTTAACCCTGAGAGGGACAGAGATCTAGGCACCCAACAGTCGACCGGATTGAGACGCCCGTCTCGTCCTGGCGGTATCCCACACCGTCTGGTGACTGTTACGAAATTGCGAATGGAAAGCAAATTGGCTTAGAAAGGCAAAGAGAGGAATCATACTTTTGGTTTTTAGTTTCTAGGCTAGGTGGCGCGAGCTACCGCCTGTTATAAAGGGTACAGCCGTTCGCATCCATTTCTGAGAGATCCCTGGTGGTGTGGTGACACTATTTGTTGTACTCTCGTGCGTAACATGTTGTCGTCTTCCTTTCGCGTGTTGCTTTTGCGTCTTCCGTTTTACCGAGTTACCTTGGCCAAGAGCGTGTGCCTCTTTAAAAAACGTGCACGTTACGTGGTTGGGTCACGCGTGTTCGGAGCATTTTAAAAGGTTATCATCAGTTCGCTCGTTACAGCAACTCGGTCTCAAGCAGACTTGTACGTATTATGTTACTTGTATTTAATTATTTGTACGTTGACAAATTAACGCCTTAGTTAGTTTTGAGAGCAGGATCATGTAACGCAGTTAGATATTTTTTTGTCTGTGTAGCGAGTACAGGTTTCTTTGTCCTTTCTTCTGACGACGAGTGCAGCAACAACCTTGACTTCGTCCCAAATCGCGCTGCCACTCTGAAGCGTTATATGGAGAGCCAAGGGAAGTTCATGAACTTCCCCTGGTTCAGTGAGATATTCTGTAGATGTGAAGGCAACTAAATTGGTATACCTTTTTCTAAAGTCCTTACATACAGCTTCGATATCGCATTAACGTAACTAAAACGATATTTTTCAATGTGGGCGTGTACGGTTTTGAAGTGAAGTATAATCATATTCTGGTCACCGCCCCACCACTCCAGTCTCAATCTTCATCAACAAAGAGTTTTTGAAGTCGCTTACTGCACGTAGCACCCATCTATCGTTTTCATCTCCATACTCTGCAGCCGCTCGCTCCCGCCCGACACACTTCCCCTGCTAGGACCCATGGCAGAACTAATCCTACTAAGGACACTATAGTGGGCATTTGACGAATCTCGAAAGGCCGACCTTAGCGACACTTGTGATCGCGCATGTCGCCAGCAGCCTCCAGCATATCCTGAAATTGTCGGCCCTCCATGATCTTGAATTTATCATGCAGGGCTGACGGTGCTTTCATGGTTTTTCTATGGTTGGTTGACCCCTTATCTTCAGTGTCAGTGTCAGTGTCACTATCACAAAGGTATTATATAGGCTGATAGTGCTCTCCGCGCTGCATTCCCGATTCTCAGTAGAACCTGCGATAATAAGCTGACTTCCACCTGGAAGAGAGTGCAACTTGCGCCCTTTAGGGCGGTCGCTGAAAAAGCTGCCCGCTTCGGAATTCGATCCCGGGGCGTCTCCAAGACTAGCGGAGCGGTCATCACACGCTAAGGCGGCGCGAGTTGCGCTCCTTACTAGAGAGAACAACTTATTATTGCCCAAATCTTCTCCACCTTGAGAACTTCCCCTAAAATCGTTATGTATAATCATAAACATTTAAGACATGGCCAAAATATAAAGCTATCTAAATTTATTGTACAAAATCTTTCTTCGCTCTCGCCTCCGCTCGAAAATGACATCAGAGAGCTAGGAAAAGTGGCTAGTAGAAGGAAGAGGAAGCTCGTCGGCCAGTCACGGCGCCACGTGAGTGCACGTGGTGTCGTCATTGACTGGCGTCTTCGCTCAAAAATGGCGGCGTGCCACCAGGAAGAAAGAAGCCGAGAGAAGGAGAATGGCTTTACATTTATGTTTACAGGGGGCTTTAATTCCAAGCCACTTTCGCCCTCCTGCCCTTACCCGCCGACTCACTTCTCCTCAGTGAAAGCAGATGCTGCGTGTTTGGACACCAGCCAGTAAGATGTCATATGGCGGTGGAAGCATCGTGCTCGCACTGATCTACACCTTAACAGGCCAGCGGACCTTACATTCTGCGTGACAGTTTGAGCAAAACATAGTATTTCGTGGTGCCATACCAACTGTGTACTGCTACAACAAGCATGTTGCATCCAGCATCCTGTCAGGTTATCAGTGAAAGTAGTACAGGAGTGCAAGGTGGTGCTGTTACCCCGCATACAAATTAGGCTCCAGACTGCGGGTTTGAACAGCGGGACCATTCTCCCCCGCCCGATTATTAAGCCTTTCCCTGTAGCCCACAAGGAACATGATGCATCTTTGGTTTCGGAAACAACTGCCTTTGTCTCGCTTACTTTTATCGGTACTTGGATGCTTTCTTTTATATATATTCGTATATATCGGTTATAAGCATCTTTTCTTTTATTTGCGTGTGTGAGAAATTTTTTGTTTGTGTTCTGGGTTTTCTGCAGAAGTTGTCCTACATCAAATAAGAACACGGGGGAAAATAAACACGAAACAAATACCCCCAATTTGGAAATAAACAAAACCCGAAGACTCATATCTGCAAGTCTATAGGCTACGCCAGCTAGTAAATGAAAACTGTTCATGACTCAAGAATTGATACACTCTAAAGTATACCTCACTCACATTTAATATTGTTTTCTTTCCCCAGTACTGCCTGAGGCACAAGTGTGGTAATCATACTAACCCTCTTGACAAAATACGATAATCGCCCATATTGCGGAGCAGTGGACACAACTACACTGGGCTGACGACAACAACAACTGGAGCAGAAGAAACAATTGTAGCTGCAAACAAGATTGGTTGCCATCGCGTATGTTTGTGGCAAAATTAATAAATAGTATCACTCAACATATGCTGACCGACGTTCCCAATAATTTTTTTTATTTATTTCTAGATGGTTTTTATTTTTCTTGTTGGATGACATAAAAGCTGCAAATATATTTTTATAGCTGAGTGGTAATTCAATTCCAGTGTCACCTCAAATCGACATGGAAAGAGTATTCAAAGCGTTTACTTTCGAAAACATTTTTTTTTGTTTTGTATAACGCTTCTGTGCCTGCACTCTCAAGAGAAAACAAAATTACATGGAGTGTATCCACAGCTGATCTGTATGCTGCCATTCTAGTTGCATATTTCAGTTAAGATGTCAAGCACCGCTACCTCCGCCCATATTGCTTTTACCGCGAGAGCAAACCCGGAACTGAAAATCGCAAGCAGTCTCACCCCATGAGCATTGGGTTGTACACATTTCTTTTTTGCTACTCATTTCTTTTTCACTAAATGGTACAAGTGCACCAAAATTCTTTAGACAAAACAAGGTCTCAGCGCTCCACGCTAACAACATGACGACGTTGCAACAAGGATCCGAGAAAGTGCCTTTCAGATGATTTCGGCCGCTTTAACACTATTAGGAACACGATTAGAAACTTATTCCTAAGTTCTCGTTTTCATAATCTCGTCCACTCTCCTTGCTTTCGTCGCGCCCAAGACAGCGCGACACTGAGACTGGCTTGACCGAATACCGGTTTTAGATTGCTTGGAGCAGTTTGCATGGGCTCATTTAGATGGCGATGCAACTGCTTCCGCATACTGTTGCGTTTACCTGTACTAAAAGCGCTGGTTTGACGAACTGCACAGCGTTTCCACTGAGAGCTTGCGTGCGTCGCACGCAGCGCTAACCCAAGTCTATATTTACGCTATTCTAAAACCCTTTGTGAGCAAGTTTTGGGATAGCGTACTCAAAAGCTTTGGGTAGGCAACGAAATAGTGTAGCCGCCACTGGGCATACCCCAAGCTTTTGAGCATCTCTGGTATCGATCATGTGTTCAAGAACAGTGGGTTTTCCCGGGACCTCAGTGAAAATATGGGAGAAAGGTTCCAAAAGTCGCGCTCACAAGTCGCGTTGGGCATCGGATCCCGGAGGAGCTCAGTGCCTGACGTACACCTTGTCTGTCGCTGGCGTTCACTGAGATATCTCTACGACTCTCTGGGTATCGCTCTTTGCCCCGCAAAGGACGCTCCGCCTCGCGCTCATCACGAGCACGGGCTAGCCCCGCGCGCCCGACGACGATCTTTATTGCATCTTAAATTATGCAGACAATACACACACATATATATATTGCTACGATAAGAGGGTGAAAGAGGAGAGAGACGACGGCAACTGAGAACGGGACGGCTCGACTGAGTGACTGAGGAGAATTATCGTTAGAGTTTTGGTGGCAACGGTGGGATAGGCCTCTCACCCGCTCTCACTCCCACGCCGGAAACCGCAACGATGATGACGTCCGAGACCTAGAAGATCAATCTGCTTTCGGCGCTGCAAACCAGGATCCCACGGAAGTCCAGGTGCGCCAGTTACAGTTGGAAGTCCAGGCCCTCCAAAATCAACTACAATAAGCCGGGCCCGCACCCCAACTTTTCCGAGGCAGTAAGGCACCTCAAGGTAGTGCGGCACATGGCGCATTTCTATTGAAACCGCAACCATTTGACGAAACAGTTTCCTGAGAAGTCTATCAGATGAAGTTTGAAACGATCGCAGAAGCCAACGGCTGGAACGTCTCAAACAAAGCAAGAGCCCTGGTGTCTTACCTCCGGGGGAAGGCCGTCGAGATCTTGGAGACTATCCCAACAGACTTCCTTCACGACTACCCTACCCTAATCGCTGCCCTGGACGCTCAGTTCGGCGACTCTCACCTTAAACAACTTTACTATGCGGAACTGCGCTCTCGCCGTCAACGTTCTGGCGAGACTTCCCAGAGCTGGCAGCCAGCATCGAACGTTTGGCACGAAAATCCTTTCCAAACTCTTCCCCCGACATTATAAGTACCTTGGCTACCGCTTCACTTCTGGAGGCCATTGGTGACGTCCAGATTCAACAAATTGTACGCTTAGGACGCCCAATGACCCTGCGAGCTGCTTTAGTCCAAGCAGTTGAAACAGAAGCCGTCTTTCGTTCTACGGAAAAGGCAGCACGTACTACACCTATCAGCACCTTCTCCATAAAGAACCACCAGGAGTCGTCGCGGCCGCAACATTGCTTCCGGTTTGGTGGCATCGGACATTTTGCTCCACAGTGCCCGAATGAACCCCATGAAACTTCACGCCCGGGAAACGCTTCCGCGAGCCATCGGGGCAGGGCTCGCTGGTAGTTCTTCCAGTCCCCAACGTTACCTTAGGCATAACCGCAGAAACACAAACATCAGTAAAGATTCCTAAACCTTGCTCACCACCATGTGTATCTATAGATATTGCGGAACTCAACCAGGAGTTTAGTGCTCTGGTGGACACTGAGTCCGCAGTGAGCATTATTGATAGTCGAGTTGTAGCAAACTTGCGAACGAATCTCAAGGCAGCCACCACCATCCAGCTCCTTTCTGCCAATGGTTCCAAATTAAAATCCGCAGGCGTAATGTCCTTGACAATGGTTGAAGAAGCAACACAACTGCTGCATGATTTTGTTGTCGTCACACATGTGGTACATCCCGTCATTCTTGGGTGTGACTGGTGCAAAAAGACCGGGCTGACTATCAGTTTCAAATCATTGAGACAACAACGCTGGTTCTCCCAAGTAACCCGAAGTCAAAGACGTTGGTTTCGCAAGATGAACCTACCAGATATCAAAATGGCCTGCTGACCCACTTCGCTCAGTTCGTCACGTGGTTCATGACGTTTTCTCTTACCTTCGGCCAGTATTGTTGGCAAGCAGTGAAAACGCGGGTCATCAATGAACATAGGTCTACCCAAAAAGGCACTAAACTTACTGCAGTCGTCTCCAGACGAACAATTGTCCTGGCAAACTCTGGAGTATGGGTAAATGCCGTTGTGTCGGAATGATTTTGAGGAGATGTAATCTTCGATCCTTATCTGAAGTGCTTGCCCGGTCAACAAATGGCAGCTCCGAGAAGCATTCTACTCTGTAAAGATGGTCACACCAAAATCCTCGTCATCAACTTCGGATCCACTGACACAAGCATTAGTCGCGGAGAGAAGTTGGGAACAGTAACTCGTCAAACCCATTCCCGGACTGTTTCGACTGTTATCCCAGTCGACAACATGGGCTTTTCAAGTCCATCTAACGAAACAGCATTGAACGACTTGAATTTCAGTCCTCACCTGACGAAGGAACAAGCTGGATCCCTTCGAAAGTTACTTTAGGAATTTCGACACGTTATTTCAACCTCCTCCAATGACTTGGGTTGCACTTCTTTGCTTGAGCATTCAATTGATACAGGAATGTCTCATCCCATTCATCATCATCCTCGTCGAGTTGCCCCGTCAGAACGACAGATCATCAACGAACAAGTGCACGAAATGCTCGAGCAAGACGTCATATCACCATCTGATAGCCCGTGGTATCACCTGTAGTTCTAGTTCCCAAAAAAGACGGATCTATTCGGTTTTGTTTCGACTACAGGAAACTCAAAAGTGTCACTAAACAAGATGTCTACCCACTACCCCGGTTAGACGACGCCTTAGATCGTCTAACGAACGCAAAACATTTTAACTCCCTTGATTTGATTTCCGGGTACTGGAAAGTCCCCATAAAACCCGAGGGTGCAGAGAAAACCGCTTTCGTAACACCTGACGGCCTATTTCAATTCAATCGGTTACCATTCGGACTCACCAATGCTCCAGCCACATTCCAGCGACTTATGGATAAAGTGCTCGGTCATCTCAAATGGACAATGGCCCTGGTCTACCTCGACGATATCACCATTTATGCCCCTACATTCGATGAGCATCAGCGCCGGCTTCGCCTCGTACTGCAGGCTCTATCTGATGCTGGACGTAAACTGAAGGCTAAGAAGTGTTTCTTCGGCTTTGACAAGGGACATATTTGGGACACTCGATCACTTCAGAAGGCATCCTCCCCGATCCTGAGAAAGTGCGATCTATTGCAGAATATCAAGCTCTGACAATGATCAAAGAGCTAAGAAGCTTTATAGGATTCGCGTCCTATTTTCGGCGTTTCACACGACCCCTAACCATCCTTCTACGGAAAACAACCACCTGGACTTGTGGAGGCTCAAGTTCAGGCATTTGCAGACATCAAGCATGCCTTGCTAAACCCTCCCGTTCTAGCCCACTTCAACGAGACTAATGAGACAATCCTGCACACCGATGCTAGCGGTGATGGTCTGTGGGCAGTACTGCTCCAAAAGGATTCATCCGGCATCGAAAGAGTGTTGGCCTTCGCTAGTCGACATTTAGACGATTGTGAGAGCAGACGCCATTCCTCTCAATTGGAATGTCTCGCCATGGTCTGGGCCGTCGGCAGGTTTCGTTCATATCTCTATGGTCGTCATTTTACGTTAGTAACGGACAGTGCTGAATTGCGATGGTTGCAATCCAAGCAGGACCTGACGCCAAAGCTGGCAAGGGGGGCACTCCAGCTGCAGGAATACAACTTCTCAATTCGTCATCGCAGTGGATCATCTCACCAAGGTGCGGACTTTCTTTCGCGCCACCCTGTAAGAATTTCTGCTATTCAAAACTTGTACACGGCGCAGGTAAACGACGCTGAGCTAGCTAATATACGCTCGATCCTTCAACAAAGTTCCACCGAGAGACTCAATGACACACGACGACAATTACCGGGCCTGTTGCGAGAATACAGTATTGTCGATAATATCCTGTGCCACGTAAAGGAACGACAATCAGCAGGCACCGTCTGGCTCCCAGTTGCACCCGTGAGCTTGCGGGTGG